GAAAAAGGAAAAGTACACACACACGCGCGCACACGCATACACACACATTAAAAATTAACTTCAGCAAAAAAAAAAAAAATTACTTTCATTATTATTATTTTTTTTTTTCTCGTGTATCCGGCAAGAGTGTTTACATTTATAAAAAAAATTTGCTGCGGTTTATTTTATTGTCGCTTTTTTTTATTTCACACGACGTTTAATAAATAAATAAATATATTAAATTATCATCAAAAATAAAAAGATTTGTATTTTTTTAAAATGACGAAAAGGAGGGTTTTCTTCCCTCCCCCTCCCTCCCCATAACAAAAGAATAAAAAAAAAATGTATTACGTAAACTTTTAAAGTATACACTCGAACACATGCCGCAAATGCTTTTATTATTATTATTTACATTTTCAAACGATAGCAAATTAATTCAAACCCACTGTTAAATGAATATTATCGATAATGATGATGATGATGATTATAGGAAACGAATCCGATTTTGCTAGCATTAAAAACTTTTATTTAATAGAAATAAAGAAAAACAAAAAAAAAAAAAAAAAAAACACAAAATTTCTGAGAGAAACTTAAGAGCACTTAAGAGAATTTTATAACAAAACACTTTCGGGATTTATTTGCGTTACGCAATTAATTAACGAACGTTATGTTGTTATTGAATTCAAACATTTATTTATTTCTATTCGTCTGCTAGCGTGGAATGAATTTTTTTTTTTGTTTTTGGTGGTTTTAAAAGGCAATTGTTTAAAAAAAAAAAATTGTAGCAAAACTTTTTAAATGTAAAAAAAGGTTTGCCGCGGACTTTGCCGCCTCCTCGCCCGCTTGCCTACCGACGTCACCACCGCCATTTAAAACTTTTGTGGTTTTTGTAATAATTAGTAACACAAAATAAAATTTTTAAAAAAAAAAAAAAAGGGGGGGGGGAAATTAAAAACGCAGCTCAAAAAAAATTTCGAATTTGGAAAAATTAACCACCCGATGATTTTTTATTTTTTTTTGGAATTTCCAAAACGCGTGGCTGGAATCAAATCCAATAAATAAATAAAATGTCGTCGTAATTATTACACATAAAAATTAATTAATTTATTAATTCGCAATTTCACCGTGAGATGTCACTTTTTTTTTATTATCAATTAATTTTATTGAAGTTTAAATCGACCAATGAGAAACGAATAATTTTAAAAGTCGATTTCCTATTGGTCGAATCGATTGATTTCACATATTACGTCACAATTAACGGTTACATTTTTGATTTTCGGGGGAAAAAAAAAAATTTTTTAAAGAAAAAGTAAAAGAAAAAAAAAATTAAATTTGTAATTTTTCGCGTAGTAAAGAATCGAAAGGAAAAGAAAAAAAGAGAAAGAGGTAGAAAGAGAGGGGGGAGAGAGAAAGAGAGAGAGAAAAGGAAGATGCCAAAAACGAAAAAAAAAATTAAATTTGAAAACAAAACAAAAAGCAGAAGAAACGTGTCGTTGCCGCAAGGCAAAGTTAATTGCTCAATTTATTGAAACCGAATTAGTTCATGAATTATTTATATATGCCACTCGACAGAATTATTTTTTGGTTTCGAGCAAAAAAAAATAAAGAAAGAAAATGAAAAAGAAGAAGAAAACACGTCGGAAAGAACACAAAAAAATTTTTTTTTTTTTTTTTATAATTTCATTTTCGAAAAAAAAAAAAAAAGAAGAAGAAGTAAAATGGGAAAAAAAAGCTGGAAAATTCATTCGACGTGTTTACGTCATTTCGGATATAAAACAAGACGAAAGCTTGAAAGGTTTTCATACATAAAAAATATATGTAATTTACATCGAAATAAGATATGCAATCATTGATTTTTCTCTTTCTCTCTCTCTCTCTTTCTATCTCTTGCGAAAAACAAATTTATATAAAAATAAAATCCCAAAGCGAAAATCATTCAAATATAAAAAAAAAAAAAAAAAAAAAAAAAAAAAAAAAAAAAACCGGGTACCCGTACCGGAAAAAGAAAAAAAAAAAAACCGTTAGCGATAAGCTTTGGTAAACCTTTTCACGGGTCACGAGAATAAAAAAAAAAAAACAAAATGGCGGAAATTATTTATTTAACCTTCGTTTAAACATTTTTTTTTTCTTTTTTCTCTCCAACCACCACACGTTTACTTTCTTTTATAATATTCACAAAAAAAAAAAAAGATATTTCCGCCATATTTTTTTTTTGTTGTTGTTGTTGTTGTTGGTGTCAGACGCCATATTGAAATTTTTATATTACACGATATAACAAAGCCTTAAGAAAGACAGAAAAAAGAAAACCGCGAATTAAATTTTCATTCTTTTGTGACTTTTTTATTTTTTATTTTTCTCGTCGCCATCTTTTTTCTTTTTGTTTTAATAAATAAAAAATATCAATAATGATAATAATAATAAATAAATGAAAAGTTTCGAGGGAAAGGAAGGGAGATGAAAACAAAAGGAAGGAGGGGGAAAAGGGTTTCGTTCGACATGACGATAACAATTAATCTCTCAATTAATTCCACTTTTAAATAAGAATTAAAAAAAAAAAAAAATTGATGAGAGAAACGTTGGGAAGGAGAGAGAGAGAGAGAGGGAAGATGAGAAAGAGGGGGGAATTTTATTTTTTGTCTTTGCCTCCTTTCTCCCTATCGTCGAGAGAAATCATAAATAATTTATAATTTTTGACGTCACTTCTTGGCATTTTTCTTTCCCCCTTCTCCGACTTCGTTACCGTTTTTACCTCTTCCCCCCTTTTTTTTTCTCCTTACCAGCTACCCGATCGGGATTTTCGGCCCCCCCCCGTTCCCTCCATCCGCTCTCTCATTTTCTCACGCTTCTTTTATTATTATTATTATGATTATTATTATTTTATTTTGTTGAATAAATTAATTTTTCATTTTGGCGGAATGAATTTTGATTTTTTCTTCTTCTTCTTTTTCCATCCTTTTCTCTCATTCTCTCTCCTCCTTTCTCTCTCTTTTTTTTCTTATTCTTCGACTTCTGCGTCTCTTCTTGTTTTTTTTTTTCTTTTTTTTTTATTTGTTCCGGTAAATTGAGCGAATAACATTTTCAGAGAAACGGAATCAATTTTGCATTGCAAAACATTTTCTCTTTGTTATTCACGTCACAAGCGTTAATCGATGAGAAAATGATAATAATAATAATAATAATAATAATAAATATAATGATGATGATGATGATGATGATGATGATAACGAGAATGAAAAAAAAACAATCGTCATTGTTATTATTATTATTATTTTTTAAAATTCTCGTTTTAATATTGAATGGATGGATTCAGGATTAAAAAAAATTCCCATATACAATTTTTAATATGTCGGATTATTTAAAACGAAAACTCTCGAGAGAAACACCATTTTTTTAAAACAACAAACGAATAAATAAATAATAATAATAATTAATTCCGTTTACATTAATAATAATAATAACGATAATGATAACGACGACAAATGCTACAACATTTCCAAAATATAAAAAATAAAAAATAAACCCCGCCAATCAACGGTTTCTAGTAATAATAATAATAATTTTTCCATCACTATCAACTTGAGTTAAAATAATAATAATAATAATAATAATAATAATAATAATAATAATAATAATAATAATAATAATAATAATTAACAATAAGGAAAATAAATAGAAAAAAATAGAAAAATAATTTCCATCATCATCATCATCATCGCAAATTATTATGACGTGGTTTCAAATAATAATAAATAAAAAAAACCGACAAAGTTTTCTTTTTTTTCTTTTTTTCTTTCTAATGCCACGCGCGTTCGATTTTTAATGAAGAGAGAGAAAGAGAAAGAAAGAGAAAGAGAGAGAGAGAGGGGGAAAAACAAACGATATTAAATTATTCAAAATTAAAATCATTCACACAATTAATTGAGCCTTAATTCAAAAGGAATTTAAATAAATTTTTTTTTGCTATTATTATTATTATTATTCATAATATTCTCTTCTTCTTTTCCTAATTCTTTTATCTTATCATAACTTATATTAATAATGATAATAATAATGATAATAATAAAAAGTCAAGAACGCATCAGACGGAAAATAAAATAAAAAAATTTTTTTTTTTCCTTTCGTTCTCGTTCGTTCTTTTTATTATTTCCACGTCATGGAGAAAAAAAAAAAATTTAAACTTCATACCTTTTTTCCGAAAGAAAATTCCAGAATTCCAAAAAAAAAAAAGAAAAAAACAAAAAATGATAGCGAGACTTCAGAATAAAATTTACTTATAATTTTCTCATTCTTACCTGGAAAAAAAAAAGAAAAAATAAATTTTTTTAAAAAAAGAAAAAAAAATTGCGAGCATTACCAAGAGCTGAAGAAAAATATATATATACATAAATTATTAAATAATTTTTCCAGCCCCCCCTTTTTTTTTTGGAAAATTCGACTACGATTTTATTATTATTATTATTATTTGTTTTCGTTTTAACCAACACTTACAATGAAATCATCAGAGAAAATCATTTGGGATTTGAATCAATTTGTTTAAATTAGTTTAAAAATTAATTTTAAATGAAATCAGTCATCATTATTATCATCATTATTATCCCTGGCGAAAATTTTATCCAAAATTTATTACGATCACAATCGTATCGTTTTAAATTGTTGTTTGTTAAGGTATTACTAATATTATTTTTATTTACAACGTAGTACGCTTATTTAAACAAACTCGCGTTTGCACGAATGAAAAAATTTTTAATTAAAAAAAAAAAAATTAACCATAATAATAATAGTAATAATAATGATGATAATGATGATGATAATATTTTTAAAGTCCGATTAAATTTCCAGACAGGAAAGAAAAAAATAAGCAATAATTAAACGCATACGCAAATAATAGAATAAACCATAATTGAAAATTTATTTATAACGACGCCTTTCCTCCTCCTTTTCTTTTTAAACCTCACATATCCAAACGTGGTAGTAATAATAATAATAACAATAATAATAATGATAATGATAATAATAATAAAATGCCAATTCCGTCATATAAAGTGAGAGCCATTTGTTCTTAAGTTACCATAAAAAGAAAAAGTGAAGAGAAAAAAAAAAAAAAAACAATTTTAAAAATTCCAGTAGAAAAAGAGCAATTATTAATATGAACGAAAGAAAAACGTTTCCAGGAGAAAGAAGAGAATAATAATAATAATAATAATAATAATAATAATAATAATTTTTTTTTTTTTGAAAATGTTTTCCTCACGCGCGAACGCAGCATTAACCGAAATACGAGAGCTTCAATGAAAATATTGAAATTCGTCATAAAAATAATAATAATAATAATAATGATGATGATGATAATAAAAACTAGAAAGGTGAACCCGGAGAAAGACGGAAAAAAAAAAAAAAGGTGGGATGACGATAGACGGAGGAGGAGGAGGGAAGGAGGAAGGGAAAACACAGCATCCGAAAGCCTTAAAAATATTTTCATACTTCCAGTGAGGAGGCAGTAAATATTTTTTTTTTTTCCATTTTCAATTTAAAAATGGGGGTTCCAGGTTTTTATTACGACTTCTTCGAAAAAAAATTTTTTTTTCCCTTTTCATCGATTTTCTCTTCTCAAAAAGAATCACCATCGGAAATAGACAAGACTCCCTGTTTAACCCCCCCGCCCTGCCCCCAACCCGGTCTTCATAATCGAAGACACGAAATTTCGTTTCGAGAGTTAATAAAAAAAATTTTCCCTCCTCCTCCTTCCCTTCCCCCACTTCCTTCTCTCTCCCGTTTCGATTGTTATTATTACGTTTCCAGTAACACTTCAAAAAAAAAAATGGCGGTATAATATAAATTTAACAATCGTCGTCGCGTTATAAAAATTCATTTTAATAAACTCTGATTTTATTATCCAAATATGATTCCAGCATCCAACTGGAAAAAGTGATTTTTCTTATTTTCTCCAGTAAAAATCATTTCAAAAAGAAAAAATTTAACGTGTTTCGTAGCAGACGACGAAAAATTTCTCCAGGATTTTCTGATATCGAATCCATCCCGCGTCCATTTTCGCTTACGGGAAAATGATATTTAATACAAAACATTTACGCGTTTTCCGCCATGATTTTAATAATTTTCCGAGAATAAAAAAAAAACAATAAGAAAAACATATCCTGACACTGACAATTACTTTACTCGGTGGGGAGTGGGTGAGAGGGGTTCGCTCCGGACCAGCGCATTTAGGCTCGGTCGAATGTATTATTTTGTAATTTAATAACCAGTTGTGTACTTCGAGGAGACGGCAATCGCACTGCCAAGGATTTCTATCCAAAGCGACTCCGTGAACGGCATCCGGAAGTATGTTTTCACCTCGTATGAAATTCAAACGATTACCATCGAGTTTCAACCATTCGAGATTGTCCAAACCTAAAAAAGTACCATCTTCGATGGATTCGATTTGACAATTGCTTAATTCAAGCGATGTTAAAAAGGATAAAGGTCGAAATGATGCCGTTTGTAGAGCCCTGATGGGATTTCCGCTCACAATTAATCGCATTAATGATGGATAATCGACAAAAGTTTCCGTCGGTACCGTGTTTAGAAAATTTAATGATAAATCC